CAGTAAGCGCCAGTTGCTTGACATACCTGCGTGGCCCGTGCTACGAAATAACTTCACGGAATTGGAAAAGTTTCAGTCACAACAAATTGTACAAAAAATCTAAAAAGATTTAAGCTTACATCTCATCTAACGTTTAAAGCGACATATCAATGCCTGCAACCATTATGTGTTATACGAACCTCGCAAACTTTTAAACACGTTCTCTTGTGATACCTACGAAAGTATTCCGTATAATTTCCGGTAAGATTTCGCGGACAATCTGGTCGATTTCTCTTACGTTGTGTGTTGACACTGAAACTTTTCACGTCGGGCAAAGCTTCGTCGCAAGGCCCTAACAAACAGCGAGCAACAGAGCTTGTTGTATATGTGCGTGTTAAAACACACGAAAGGACACTTCACTCTGATTGGGCAGAAAAGTACAAAGATTTTCTGGCACCAATCAGATGCCAGAACGACTGCGACCGTTTGGAACTAGTCTTGTAAGACAATGTCCCCAGGGGCTCTTCTGCCCTTAACTTGAAATCGACTCACAGCCCCTGGGTCTCCGAGGATGGTCTCCCTCTGGAACTTCCTTCATTGTTTCCGTCAAATTCTTCCAACCACTGCCCCTACCCCAGCTGGCAAATAACGGTGCCTGAGATAGATGTCTAATGAACTCATCAATTTCTGAGGCTTCATGGCAATTTCCAAGTAGGAGATAAACTAAGTTGTTGGCTCAGAAGCCAAGAAGACATCTTCTGAACTTTTATAAATAGAGGATGGAAACCTGAGTTAATATTGACTCTTAATGAGTCTTTATGACACCTGACAAATAGTATTTAAGACTTGTTAATACTTCGTGCAAATTTCTTACAGGTACCTGTTAGGTAGCATATGACAACTTTGACACTGACATCAATATCTTCTGAGACAACTGCAATTAGTTGATATTATGGAAAGAAAAAAAAACAAATTACTTCTTTGCTAGATCTGGAAAAAAAATCGCCAACAACAATATGAAAAATATCATCGAAGGCGAAGATACAGACTCCTAAGGGGCTGATTGCACAGTAATAGTGTTGATGGATTTTGCAACGAAGGAAGACGCTAAAGTGGAAGGGGGTGACTTTTTTTAAAAATGTTTAAACAGTGTCTATATTAAGCCTTGTGCCCTATGAGAGGAAGAAGACGTTTGTTAAGGAGAGAGACGTCACTTTGAATTCTCTTATTATGCAAATCCTGCTGTTTGCTTGTTATTTCATTGCAGCTGTATCTTATTCGAATCTATTTCAAAAAATTTTTTATAAGTGATGCTTTATCTTAAATTCCCTTCAGGAAAAATTCTAAAGATTTTCTGCGAATGTTGTTACAGACAGTTTACGAGCATTTCTTAAATCTTCTTCGCCACGAATGAAACATTTCGGATAAAGTGTTCGATGAACTGCACATCAACAAATTTGACTTACGTAATAACATGTGCAGGATGTGGACAAAATTATATAGGAGAAACGGGTGATGTCCTGAGAAATAGAGTGACAGTCCACAAACAACAAATTAGAGACCCGCACACACGTATGCTGGGAGCCAGCAAACACATTGATGAATGTGCTGCGAGATTGACCCCTCAGTTCACTATCTTTCCGTTTTACAAGCGAATGAAAGAAAAAGAGAGAAAGAAATAAATGAATATCGGGACAGTAATGAAAGTTGTTGACAGGTGTAATATCTTTTATTGGCTAATAAGAAATTGGGAATCGATGACAAACAAGACACTACTAGTATTTAACTACTTTTAAAGTTGAGCATAATTTAAATGAGCCATGACTTGTGCCATGCGTTCCGTTTGTATCTCTGTGTTTCTATCATGCTCCATGGTAATTGTGATTGCGACATTACAAGGTAAATTGAAGCAATTTTCTTTTCACTTACGTAAATATGGTTCATCAGTACCTTTCTAGGAGTTAGACAGTCTTTTACATACAATTCAGTACGCTCAGTTCTAACTGCCAGCTTATTCTAAACCTCCTCGTATATTTGGGTTTGTTTTGGCGAAAACAGACTCATTTATACCCCGAAATTTAGAGGGAAACCATTGATTAATGTCCCCAGGCACTTGAATAAAAACAAAAGTAAGAAAAGATGGTCTAATGCTTTCCTTCAAACGATGTAACACGGCATTGACGTATACGTTTTCACTCTCACTTCAAAATGATAGGGATAATTAATTCGGCTGTAATTAATATAAATGCGTCTAATTCTCAGAAAGGACAACGAGGTTTCGCTTAGCTTCTTTCTTTAGCATCCGGTAAAGTTTCTTTGAATTATGTCAATCAAGAAAGCTTACAACGACTCTACTTTACTTTTAAAGTTCCAGAATGTTGATTATTAATCCTTTCAAAACAATAGAAATGCATTATTGACCAAACGTGAGGTCAAGATGGCTGGATATCGGGTGAGACGAAGTCGATGTCCATAAAAGAGAAGAAAATACAGAAGAAAAACATTTTACTTAATAAGAATAAAGAATAAACTGTTTATTTTCGAGCGCTGGGAAAGAAAGCCAACAGTAATGACGCTTTCTGGTTTTTCATTTAGCAAGTTGTAAAATTTAGTGATTTGATTGGTTTTCTTTACGTTTATATAATAAAAAAATGTTCACAAAAGCAAAAGCAGTTCATGCTGAGGAATGACACTGGGGCCATCTTGCTCGCTCAGGTAGCCTATTAAATCGTAGGATTCGCTTCATATTGCTCTTTGGTGCTGCCAGCTATACGATAAATACTGTCATCAGCATGTTTTTAATTCGCTTTAATTTTATTCTCAACGGTGAAGACTTCTCTGAAGCAGACCAATGCCGTCAGTTGAAATTTCGGCCTGAAAAAGCATTTGACAGCAAACGCTTCATAAACCACGTGTTTCGTATCAATGAGGTCCTGGTAATGGAGTTCTGCGAAACCATGTGTTATATGGAACCCAACTGTGTCAGCATTAATATTGATAAACGGGCGGATGGAAATGGAAAGTACAAATGTGAATTGAATAATGTTACTCACGAAGGACACAAAGACGACCTGATAGAAGACGGACATTATTCGTACCATGCAGCTGAGGTAGGTAAATTATCCATGTAACCTCATCATCAGTGTGGTAGACAGATAAAAAGTGCAGGCTTACATGAATCATGACCCTCTATATCTAAGCTTTGTAAACTTTATTGGTAGATTTTCTATTTCTAATGGATATCATTGCAAGTTACTCAGTGGTACGTTGCCACCTCAGTAATGATGATTGTATTACTAATAGATTTACTTCTTAACCCTTTGGTCAGAGCGCTTGTGTCAAAAACTCTTGCAAGAACAACGCCACTTGTCAAAGTGGATTTACTGACAAAGCATATCGCTGTTTGTGTACTGCTGGATTTAAAGGTCAGACATGTGATGAAGGTAAACGTTCTTCCCATCGATCCTAACTGGTAATTAAATACCTCTACGTGTACGAGTACAGTCAAAAATGTTATCGATGCCCTTTCTTTTCCCTTATTACATTTTCATTTTGCTTTCCGGATATTGATGAATGTGTAACATTCAAGCACGACTGCAGCGCCAGTGCTGTGCGTAAGAATAGCAAGGGAACGAACTTGCAAAGGTGTATTCCACACATTTTAAATGGTTCTTACTTATGAATTGGAAAGAAGAGTATTTTAAAGCAGTTTCATTCCTCGATTCAACGGTCACTATTTGCCGTGACTAACTTGTATGTTATCTTTGCAGATGTTGATGAATGTGCCGTTGGAAATCACGGCTGTGGTACCAATGCCGTGTGCAACAACACCAAGGGATCGTACAACTGCACATGCGTGACTGATTATTGGGGAGATGGAAAGACGTGCATTAGAAAGGGTGATCCGCTATGTAAGATGTACTTTAGCCCAACGTTTAGTCATTTGTAATGTTTCTAAGCGCTAGAAATCATTCAGTGTAATTTACACATAGTTTCCAAAGGCGGACATTCTCATAACTCTTAGAAAATTCACAGACCTAGGCGAGCGAGGTGAATGAGTGATATAGGTGCGAAAAATTCAGATAAATGGTACAGAAGCATGCATTCTGATGCCATTTATAACAAAGTACCAGTAGTTGGTAAAACCATTGAGCTATCAGACAACTGTTAAAAAGCAGTACTTAGTATTTGTCACATTTTTTGTTTGTAAGAGATTTTTCACACTTTAATTTTATTTCTTTTACTTTTGTCTTGAAACATGTTTGGGAAATTAGTTTCTACCTGCAAGGAAGCTTATGGCGGGCAAGCGTAAGTTGATATTTAATGCAGTATACATTTCAATTTGAAGTCAGATAATTAGCTGACAGATGAAAACAACTTATTACTTTTAATACCAATTTCAAATTTTGAACAACTGTATTTTTTTCTTATCCTTTTCCGTCAATTTTTGTGCCAAGGGTATGTTAATCAAATAAAACTCTTTTTTTCCTCATAAATCCCCTCTCACCAGTGTAGTGAAATATTTCAGGTAAGAAAGGTGCCGAAAAAGATTGTTTTATTTTGTTGTCACCTACGTTTTCACGAGCTGTTCAGAATTAATTATTCCAAAATCAGATTCAACAGCTTCATCTATTTTAGCAGAACTTTAAATTTCATGACTCTACGTAATTACTAGACGGGTTTCCGAGAAACAGCCTTTCTAGGGTTTAGGTTAGTGTTTTAATCTGTTACTTTTGAACGGTAATGAGCGACGAGTGTTTTCAGAGCAATCAGTCATTCTTTGCAGGTCGACCGTAGGTGACCTGGTGACATTAAAAATTGATTCAAAGCCAGTCACCGTTCGTTGTCACAAAGAAATCGATGGATGCGGTGATGGGGGATGGACGCCGGTCATGAAAATCAATGGCCACAAGGTTTCATTTTTTCATTTTTTCAGCTATCATTTTTTTTCGTTTTTTAATGCCTGTTGTCTTAAGTAACGTCTTGTTTGTAATTGTGGACAACCTTTTTATAATATAAATTAATACCCGGTACCATCCAAAGTGAGAAGTAAACAGCATACAACTATGGATCAAGTATGTCTGTTTTGTTTGATTTGAACATTCATTTATCTATTTATTTGCCCAATTATTCCTTTTTAGAAAACCTTTCATTATGACTCACATCGTTGGACTGATAAGAAGGAATATAACTGTCCTGGTGGACTGACTGCGTTTGACAAGCGAGAAACCAAGCTACCGACTTACTGGAACACGCCTTTCTCTAAGATATGCCTTGGTATGAAAACTGCCAAACGCACGAAGTTCATTGTCATCAACAAGCAGGCCGACTCTCTGCACTCACTGATCGCTGATGGAAAATATCGCAACACGTCACTGGGTCGAGACACATGGAAGACACTTATTGGTTCGAAGGGCTCCCTACAACCCCACTGTAACAGGGAAGGCTTTAATGCTGTGTCTGACAAAGGATCTCACTCTAGAGCAAGAATCGGAATACTTGGTAACAATGAAAATGATTGCAAAGATTGTGATTCCAGAATTGGGTTTGGTACTTGGGGGAAGCCTTACAAATCGATCACGTGTGGAAATACAGCCTCACGGTGGCATGGATCGGATAATGGACGAAGATATATCAGAGCAATGGGGTACATCTTGGTGCAATAGAAAGGCACCACCTGGGAAAGATACCACGAAACGATAAAATGGCGTTGCTGGAACCTTAATCTCCCGTTATTCATTATCATAGCAATAAGAACACGGATGAATTAATGGGTGACTAGATGAGTGAGTAAATCAAAGACGACGAACAAATGAATCAGTCATTAAACAAACACCTTAAGTGTCATAGAATAGAGAATTAAGTTATCAGATGATTTGAAATTTGGTCCTTTTCCCTATAATCAGCAATTAAAGGTAGCTCTTTTAATGAGAGGTATTTGATAAAGTTTAATATTAAACTTTAAGCTTAATATGTCTAAGGATACAGTTTACTTTATTTCGAGTCCTAGTTGCCAAAATATAGGGCATGAGGTAATTAAATGATCTTTTTTAGATTGGCGAGGCTTACCGTTGTATGCTAGAATTAGACATTAAACGAGTACAGCTAATATTTCCTACTGTATGGTAAGTGCTAAGCTAAGCTTATTCCGTGATAATTTAAATTTACGTTAGGTCTCTAAAATGTAAAGAATACTTAGAAATTTTCCAAACAGCTTTTGGTTTATATGACAAGTAAGTGAGCTTGGAATCGGAAACAGCCTACAAAATAACACTTAGAATATTAATGCGAAAAAGCGCACACACATACATACACAAAGCAATGCTAGTTACGTATAAATATGCGAATAAACATAAAAATGGTAGGAATCGGATACAATCTCACAGTTTTCTTCAAAGAGTTCCTTGAAATGAACAATCTTCCACGGCAGCTCTCTCTCTGATAAACAGTCGGTCACTTTCGACAACAACAACTACAAAAACAACTTATTTTGTTTTTCAATAATAATAGGACTGAGTGAAGTCCAATTCCGAAATCTTATTACCAGTTAATCATAAAAATTACAATTTGCGAGAAAAAGTTTTGAAAGAAAGAGACAACTGATATTTAAAAAATTAGGCTGTGATTGATTGTCTTAAAATGCAGCTTTGAATTTGTTCGGCTTATTGAAATGTCCGATAACAAACTGTACGATAACAAATTGGAAGGTGAGTTAGTGAAAAATAGGAGTGTTTTTAATCAATCTCAATCAAGGAAATTGTAGTTTTTATCATTAAAAGTGGAGGCCTTCTGAGCAAGCTACCACCCTCAGCCCCAAAGTCATGCAAAGGATTGTATTTCAACTATTCGACTCCTGGCTTTGAAATGTGTGCATTCATATCCGTTTAATGAGTGCTTCTTTGGTCATTGACCTCAACCTTGATAACCATTGAACCCAGAAGCAATTGAGCTAAGTTAAATAGAAATTTGATTTTCAGAAGGAGGGAGGACGCTTTATAACAATTTTATTCATTAACAAATAAGAATTGCTAAACGGGAAATGGGTCTTGTGGTCTCGGTATTTTGAGCAGGATGTCTTACTCGACTGGTAGGAAGCGAACTTAGAAGCGCGCGGTTTTATGTTAAGGTCAGACAACTGTTTTCAAAGATTTTTGCCTCGTAATTATCTTGAAATACATGTATTCATTACGAAGTTTTTCTTTAATTCATATCATTTGTTTGCGTAAGCATGTTTGCTCAATGAAGAGATTTTGGTTTTCGCCATGTCAGGATTTGTGGGTCCCAAAGTCATTTCTACCCCAGGAACTTCCTTGCCCCTGCCCCCACCCCGGCTGGCAAATAACCATGCTTGAGATTAATTATTGACAACCCATCAATTTCTGAGGTTTCATAACAATTTCCGAGAGACATGCTAACTTGTTAACTCAGAGGCCAAGAAGTTATCTGCCGAACGTTTATCAATGGAGGATGAAAACCTGAATTAATTTGCCACTCAAAGAGTCTTTGAGACAGCTGGCAAAAAATTGTTGAATCATCGCTGTTATTACTTTTTGCAAATTTCTTACAGGTACCTCGTAGGTATAATGTAATACCCTTAGTCAACTAGCTCTGAAGGCGCCTGACAACTATGACACTGTCATCGACATCTTATGAGACAACTGCAATTAGTTGATATTATGGAAAGGATAAAAACTAATTAATTCTTTGCCGCATCTTGAAAAAATGTAACAACAATATGAAAAAACATCCACAACGAAGACAAAGATACTTGCTCTCTAGGGTAATAATTAAGCAATAATGTATATTGATGCTTTCAATGAAATAAGATGCTGAGTTAGTGGGGGTAGTACCTGAAAATCATTTTGCAATACTATGTATCTTGGGCCCTACGCTCTTTAAGAAGAAATTGAGGGTTATGAGGGCAAGAGAAGCTACTGCCATCATTATACAAAACCTGGTGTTAGTTAGTTATTTCATTGCAGCTGCATCTTATTCGAAAAAAGGTTTATTCAAAATTGCTTTATAGGTGATGTTCTAGTTAGAATTTCCTTTGTAGCAGACAATTTACGAGCACTTCGCGTGGATAAAATTATCATTTTTATTAAAGCAAGAAACTTATTTGAAAACGTTTATAAAATTCATTCCGCAAATACAGCTAACGAAGAAGTCGGAGAATCGTAGAAAAATCTTGAGGAAAACTGCCAAAAAGAAATAATCCATCGGTAGAATTAGCAGGGAGAATGAAACCATCATATTTGCTTACTTGATACGGCATCTGATGATTGCACTTAATTAAGCACGAACACGACGTAAGGGAAAACTGAAGAAATATAATATATCTATGAATACATCCTATAAATAGTTTAATAATCGAAATGTTTTATCCAAAATATGGATGGAGAAAAGAGAGAGAGAGAGATAAAAGTTAAAGAAAACGGAAAACAGATAAATAATAAAGAAATAAGAAGAGAAATAAAAAACAATGAAAGTTGTTGACAATCAGGTTTAATAGATTTTATTGGCTGATAAGAAATTGGGTATCGATGACAAACAAGACACTACTAGACTTCAATTACTTGTAAAGTTGAACATAATTTAAACGAGTCATGAAAAACGTTTGTGCCATGCGTTCTCTTCGTATCTGCGTATTTCTATCATGCTCCGTAGTAATCGTGATTGCGACACCACAAGGTAAATTCAAGCAATTTTCTTTCAAATGGCATTGTTTCATGAAACCCTTCTTTGCAAACGAGGTTGAAGATTTTTTTCTGCAAAAATTCTGCCGAAAAAGTTAAATCCCATCAACAAATGGCAGATCATAGCGCACTGCTTGGCTAAATAAAGCAGAAAATGTGAGGCAACTAAGACAGGTGGATATTGGAAACAGGGAAATGATTGCCTCTAGAGAGCGAACCTCTACTTTGTCAGTCCTATGCGGAAAGTCAGATAACTGTACGTTTTAGGCTACATGACGTAAATTGACGTATTGTTTTTAATTAACATACGTGAATGTGGCTTCCCAACTATTGAACGAAACATTATTTTCCCTGTTCTCTGCGCAAAAGAAGGGCATTTGTATCCAACTGTGCTTCGTAGAGTATAAATAACGCCCAAGACGAGCACAAATATCTTATGGTATTTGTATTCTGGGGAACCGGTTAGACGGGTTTTCTCGTATGGCGCAAGTGAGGAATTGGATTAAAGTCACGAAAAAAATGGCTGACAATTTAAATAATTTTTTTGACGACGAAGAGTCGGAATGGCTGGCGAAAAATGATCCAAGTTTATTAGATAAATCGAACAAAGAAAAGCAGTTGCACGACAATGAAATTTTATCATTTACTTAAGAAAATAGAAACAGCAACACGACAAATTCCAATTCCGTTCCGCTGCGTATACTTCTATCACGCACTCATCGTAATTAAATATCCGCGAAATTCTCCCGCGCTGAGATAAGAATTTGGCGCGTTGAATAATCTCTTATTAATGGTTTTTTTGTGTATTATCGCTGAGTATTTTTACCCGTTTGTATTTTGAATTGCCCCACGAGCTCGTCAAAATAGGCACAACCCATAAAAATACTTAAGGACACTACACAAGAAAACGTTTAAGAGGCACTGTCAGTAAAAATCAGATATGATCATCAAAATCGGGGACACAGACAAAAATCGATTTCACTCATACTTTCTATATTGATAGACCCTTGCACCAAAGTAACCAAAACAGGGTTAGTTTTTTGTAATCTTTTTTTTTTTTTTGAGAGTAATTAAATAAAAACGGTCGAGTGCGGATCGAGCCAAATTTCGATGTTCGAAATGGCGAAATTCTGTCGTATTCATGGCTTGGCAGCGTAAGTGGAAAATTATCTGTGAATTTTCCTTTGCACTAACATTATAGTTAGGGCCTTGAACAATTCACTGACGACATGAAAAGCAGATATGTTCTCGTTATAAATATTTTATGAATTTTCTTCTCGATAACACCCTACGGCTGTTTTTCAATAACTCTATGGTACCCTAAAACAACTGCCAAAAACGCTTGTTGGTACGCGAAGAAGAACCTAACAACTTATTAAAGATACAGTTTAAGGATAGACGTTCTCAGATATACTTTCAATTTTTTGGGATAACTTTTGGTGTTGCAGTAACCCTTGTTTGAAGTTTGCTTATTTTCGAGATTTGCTGCAGCCGCCATATTAAAATTTCAACTAACTTGACCATCAAGAAACAATTGATCGCATGTCGAAAAGTACATTTGAATTAAAACATAGTAAGTTAACTTAAGATAAGACTTGGTTTCTGTTTCTTATCTAAAATTAATTAAATTAGTGGTAGACTCTGGCAGATTTTTGCTTGTTGTCAGTTTGTTTACACAAGATATTTGGTGACTACTGTACCAAAAAGTTGCGTTTTGTTGATACCTTCGGTTTCGGTTGCAAATCTACTTTCTGGGAATTTCAGTTATTAGTTTTACTTTTCAGAATGTATAATCTACGAAAACTCCTGCTTTTCCACGACAAACACTGATCAAATAATAAATAATTTAAACTGTGTAGCGTGTTAAACAACCTGTGTCCATAACGTATCCGTCGGCAGACTGTCGGCACGCATGTTTGATGAAATGGGGTTAGAGGGGACGGTTAATTAATGATGAATTGTGCATCATAGTAGTTATAGTAGTTGCAGATTTCTTACTGCTCATTTTCGGGTTGGAAGAGATGGATCATAAATCATAAATTGTAAAGATTACGATTTCCATTCTTTTTATTACATGCTATAACATATTTTTTAGTATTAAGCACACGCGCGTTCTTACGAGCTTTGTCGTAAGCTCTTATGTGTTCAACGTGAATAAATAAACTTACTTACTTACTTACGCTTGTCCAAAGACCAGTATCACTTGCATGAGGAAGTTCGCTGATTATTGATATTCAAAAAAGCAGGATATGTCCAAGTTTTATTCAATTAGTTATGTCTGCAAGGTTTATCTGAACGTACTAGTAATCGTGCGTATCCTACTCCAGTAACAGTTCTTTTCGTCTGCTTGCGTGACACTGTGAAGTGTAAATTCTGTAGGTGTCAATTTCAATTTTCTCTGAGAACTTTTCAGAAAATTGTTTCACAGACATTGCGTCATTAAAACAATAAAACTTTCTCAAGCATGGCTTGTACGTTTTCATTGATGGTCGGGAGAATGTGGACCTGATCCAAGATGGGAAAATCAATCTTGTCAGGGACTTCCCCTCGTATCTTGAAACAGGAATATTACATGCCATTAAAAAAACAGTTGAAGATTATTGGATGTGACACGGAAATTGAGCTTATTTTACCAAGGAGTACTCTCTGATGTATTCGTAGTACCACGCTTTGCCTGTTCAAGCGTCAGTAGTGTTG